AGGTGTATTCTGTAGTAGGGTTAATACTGTCAATATCTATGTTTGTGTGTTTTGCATGAAACAGTTTATGTAGGAGAAATACCCTGAGACTGAATTTAGGGGCAGAATAGATGAAATTTTATTCACCAAACAAATACTGTTTTGGATGACGTGGTTGTTTTATGTTAACAGTAGTAGAGACAAGAAGAGCTGCAAATTTGGAACAGGGTTTAAATTTCATTGACGCTGGGAGGTGTGTGATTTCCTGTTCTGATATGGTAACTTGTCTCCTGGCAAAAGCAGATTATAATACCTTTTCCCAGTATATGCATTTTCCATGGTGTAAAAATCCACTCCAGGTAGAAAACACAAACTTTTGGTTTTAATACATGATTCTTCTATTTGCAGATAAGCTGTGTTTGAATGCAATATAGGTGAATTTATTTTTAAACCATAGCCTTTAAATTTAGTAGAAAGCTAATTTTTAATGGACTAGAACCTGTTCTGTTAAAACTTGTACAGGTTCTTGTATTCACTTGTCTTTTAAAAAAATAAATAAATTCACTGTTAGGTTTATTTCTGTGTTGGGGTTTTTTTTTGTTGGTTTCTTTTTTTTACCCTCCCTTCCCCCTTCTTAATCTTCTGTAGGGGTGTTTGTTCTTAAGATACACAACACTTTGTGAGTTTCAGCATACTTTCATTAACCAGAGGTTAGGTTTCTTGCAAGTTAAAGAATTCAGTATATTGCGTGTGCACTGAAGATTGAATAACAATCAGCTGCTTGTCTTGCCATTGATAAGGCTGTTGAAATAAGGTGAAGCAGACTTCCTGACTTTTACTTTCATTTCAGCTATTCTCTTTCCATTCACGCATGCACAAAAATCTGCTTGTTCTCCTGTTTTCAGGCAGATGTGTCTATTATCATGAGGTCAGAGATACTTGCTGTTGTAAAATTGGGCTGTTCTTACCTCTTGAAATAACTCATTAATTTATTTGGTGATCATTTTTAAAGGATCACTAATTTATTTTTAGAAACATTTTCATTACTACTGGTATATAAATCTAGCACTGTTGTGCTCAAGTTACATTTCATATATTTTTGTCCAATGTGATTTACTTGATTAGAGAAGTGTCTGTCAAGAATATGTTTTTATGTTGGTAATATTTTATTGTTTCTGATATTTCATTGTTTCTTATTTTTACAGCAGACTTTAATGAATGGTAACTGAGAAAAGTACTTTTTGAAGGAATAGTAGCATAGTGAAAACCAACATACTTCACAGATACTAATCCGTTAAATTTAAGTTACCAAAGTGACTATGAAAGACAGTAACCAATAGCGATTTTTTAAAGCATGTAGAGTAAGAGATATACTTATTTGAAGAGTATACTCATTTTAACTAGTTTACAAGAAGTGAATGTTAAAGAGCATGATGCTTTCTGGATGTTTTGTAGCAGAATGTGGAACAATACAGTATTAAAAGTTTTGTTTAAATGAAATATTAAGCAGTGTGAATGCCTTCAACTTTGTGTAAATAAATCAGCATTTTTCATAATGTTTTTCTGTAGGGTGGTGAGCGTCCAAAAATAAGTCTCCAAGTTTCTCTCTATCTTCTTTCTCAAGTAAGTATTTTAAGTATTTTGTCCTATTTCAAAACATGTTTTGCAGTAGTGTTATGATTTATAAATTACTGTATTTTCATCTATTTTGGCAAAGCCATTAAAGACAATTTGGCAAAGTTTTAAACATATCAGTTTCCATTAAAAAAAAAAGAAAAAAGCAAGATCATTTGTCTTTTAATGGACAGACCAAATAGCTTCTTACTTGTGTTAATATCATTCTCCTGAGAATCCCATAGCACAGGGTAGCCTTTGGAGTATTCATTGATTATAGTTTATGTATGCCACCTGACAAATGGTGCATAATAGAACCATGCAACATGCTAGGACAGAATTTAGAAAAATTGCAGGTGAAATTTAGATAGATGCTGTATTCCACTTTGAATCTGCCTAAGCTATGGAAGAAGCTAGGTTTGAATCTTCTTCTTTGAAAAAAAGAGGGACCAATGATCTCATGGGTTTTTTGATTGTTTTTTAAAAAAACCCAACCAACCAAACCCCAAAAATCCCCAAAAAACACCACCACCAAAACCTGAAAACTTTCTCACAATTTGAATTTCGTTATGCCTATACCTTAAATCTAGAATGAAGTGCTTGTTATTTCTTATTCTTACCAGTCCCACCTCCTTTTCTTTCTGGAACTTATTTTCAAATGAAGAGAGTTTTACAGTGTTTTTTGGTTTGTTTTGGTTTTTTTTTTTTTTATTATTGTAGAGAAAAATAATCTTTTCTCCCGGTAGTCTTTGGTGCATTGCTATGAGACTAGTTTTCTTAAATTACATTCTCTGAAAATAGTTTTGACTTGTATTCATCGAAAATACACTTTTTTTTTTTCTTTGAGCTTATGCTTTTACATTAGTCATTTTATTATGGTCTGGCCCATAATTTCATCTTTTTTAAAGAACTTTTCTGAAACATGATTTTTCAGGATTGTATAATTTGATGCTTCTTAACCTAAACCTAAAAAATTGTGATGTTGTGGGAGTTATCTACCACAGATAAAACCTTGGGAGCAGCAGCTTCTTGTAACTACAGGGATCTGCGTCATAGGGTTGTATATGCTGACCTCTTTTAACCTCTTCTTTCAGCAGAAGTATTGGCTAGGTATCGCTTCAAGATTTGCGTCTATGTTCTTTATTGTTTTTAATAAAGAAAATGGAACTTTTTTCCCTAACCATAAAGAAATGGGAACAAATTTAGTGTATCAGAATGGGATGTGATATAGAAAATCGGGCTACTTTTTCTGTAACTGCCAGAAGTACATCTTTTTCTACCTCTTTTTAACAGAGTCTGTCTTTGATGGAGTGGGATCTGAAAAAGTGTACACCAAGTATCTGAAATACCTTCTTAACTATTTCTGTTATTGACACCAGGCATACACTTTAGGTGTTACTCATTAGAGACAAGTGCTTAAGAGACTTGTTTTCATTCACTGTTCACAAAGTGAACATGTAATGTACTTATGCCAAAACATGCCTGTGTATAGTCAAGCTATACTTTCTGAATTAGAAGAAGCTTGAGTGATTTGTGAGGTTGTTCAAAGCATTTTTGAAGCGTGCTGGGACTTTCCAAAGTTTTACATAGGTCACTGCTGTATGCTAATAATCACTTCACTTTGAAGGTCTGGAATGGTTCTGACTTTAATCAGAAAACCTGTGGAGATCATGTTTAGCTAAATATAGTTGAAACAATGATTAGGTTTACTGATTTAGAAATCACTTGCGGATTTTTCAGCTAGAACCACTGTTTAGGGATCCAGCTTTGATATTCCTGTGGAGAGAATGGATATAAGCTGACATAAGGCTATTGTGGCCGCACCTGAGCCGGTTCTGTCCAAAAGCCAATTGTTTGCTGGCCCAACCTTGTAAGCCTTGCCTCAAAATAGAGTGGTTAGCATAAACAAAGAACTCTTTTAAAGCACTGAAGCACTTCTGGATAAGTCCTTTTAATGTTATAGGCAGTATGGCCCTTATTCCTGTGTTATGTATCTGCTTTGTAGCTAGACCATAATTCATTGTGACTTCATGGCCAGAAAAGCTGCTTCTGATCCAAATCAGTCTATTGCATGACATTTATTTGTGAATCACTGCAAAGTAACTGTGTGCACAACACAGAACTTACTGGAGTCCTGCCAGTCATTGGCGTATAAGAAGGTCAGTGGATGCTGTGTACCATAATCAGTTTGTGTAGTTTCTCATAAAAACCCAATTTTCTGCAGCGGTTTTAATTTGGCTTCCTTGCTAGAGTATCATGCAACTTTCATCTCAAAGCTAATGAGGGGAGAGGATTTACATTTCGTAGAAGGAGGGAGGAGTATGAAGAATTATTAAGACTAGGTAGCTTAAAATGTAGAGAAAGGTCAAATACCTGTAGAGAGGATTATGGTCTCCTGTGTTTTGAAGTAGGTTTCATGAACTATCACTATCACCGTTACCACCTGTACTTCACATGTAAACTTAAGATACCAGTTTAACAAGGTCAAAGTAGTATGTTCAGTGACTGAAATTGTGAAACTGTATGTGTTCTGTAATATATGTCTGATATTTCTTTCCACCCTTCTTTTAATAGGTTTTTCTAATTATACATTACGCCCCTTTGGTGAACTCATTGGCTGAGGTTATACTTAATGGTGACCTCTCGGTGTTTTCTTCTAAAGTTGAGCAAGATATACAGAAAAACTCAGTAAGTGGCCAACTAATCTTTAATATTTCTTTTGAGAGACAAAGAAAATATTTGAAAAACGAAATCAGGTATCTGGAAACTGGTAAGCTAAGGTGATTGTGTTTAGGAGAGAAGAGCAGCAATAGAAGATTTCAGCTATTGTTGGATACGATAGCAGAAAAGTGCTCTGTGCAACTTAAAGTATTATGTTTTTGTCAAAGTTGCAATACTTTTGTATGTGCATATGTATTTCAGCTAGTGGTATAAGAATGTGCAGGACACAAATCAGAATACTTAGTTGCTTCTGTGGGGGTCAGACACTGCAAAGGCTTCCATCATTTTGATGGGACACTTGTAATTCAGCCTTCTGTGTTCAGTTTTTGTTGTCAGCTCTTTGGTAGTGAAATAGAAATGAGTCATCCCAAATTTCCTGTGAAATCATTTCCTTACACAACTTGTAGTACAAGTTAGAGACTTAGAAAAAATACCTGGCCTTATGGTAAATCCTTTGGATATAGAAGAAAACAAAGATTTTTTCATCCGAATATTCCCAATGTTTTAGCAGTAAAACTGATCATCTCAAAGTGTGCATCAGTGTGCATAAGACAATATAGACCAGCCACAAATAGATGGGAGTGCTATCACTTTGTCATTGCCCTTGTACCTTCAGATTTAATCCTGTGTAGATGTTGCTAGATGCTGTTGTTAGTTTTTTTCTAAGTGTGTCATGTATATGATTTTTTTTCTTTTTTGTTGTGGGTTTCACAGCTTGCAAAATGCTTGTATGTTACTTTTTAAAGGCCTATTTGGGGATGGTAATAAGAAGGGAGTATGACCTTACTTTGGTTAAGAGGCTTCTGACTGTAGTTCTGCCTAAAGATTGAACATGTCCCCTAATTTCTGACTGGTCAGCAAAGAGTTAGTGACAATGTTTAATTTATAACAAGCAGTAGATGGGTTCTTATGCATGTTCTTTCCCAGCAGTGGCTATAGGTATGAGAGTTTCAAGGGAGATATGCTTCAACTCTTTTTCATGATACAAGTCAGCTTTTCCAAATTTCTTCCTACTGTGCAGGAGAAGCTGTGTGGGCTGATCTTAGCCAGTAGCTGCTTTTGGGTTCTGTTATTTTGTACTGTTGACCTTGATATTTAGAATCTAATTTTTTTATAAAAAACCTACAGTAGAATGGTAGAGCTGACTGAATGCTTTAAGATAAAGCAATTCCTTACTTAGATTAGCAAATGTCTGACCTTCTGCTAGCTGCATACTGAATGTCATGCGTGTTACTTGTGCAGTAGCAGCTTTGTTACTAGGAAATTTGTGGCGAGGGGGTGGGGCTCCAGTTGTTGCAGAAGTGAGATTTTCTTTTCCTGTCAATAGTTACTGTACAGACTTGCAAAATATCTGTAGCATATGTTTGTGTGTTTGCACTAATGTTAGGAATATTAGGGGTTTCCTGTAAGCGTCTATTCATCTGTTCTCTTATGTTTGTAATACTATTTAGGTTGCTGCTTCTTACTGGTCTTAAAGATGTGTCCTCATGGCATGTAAATTGGGAGTTCTGTCATACCTGAACAGGTAGCAAATAGGAGGGGTATTGGCTTTCTAGGATAGATACTTAGCAAAACTGCTAGAGGTGGACCTTTGTTACCGGGAGAGCAGAGTGATGGATGAGGAAAAAAACTTCCATGGGAGAAACTTTAGTTTTTAGTAAATTGAACCATATTCTTCAATGAAACCTTGGAGGGAAAAACCTGTACTGTCAGAAAGCCTTCTGGTGGAGGTTGGTTATTTGCAGAAAGAGCAGGGAGTAATCTTCAGCAGGAGAGCTCCACGCCTTACTTCCAATGAGGGGAGCTATCAAGTGAGCTGCTCTCAGTTGATGAGTATGAACAACTACTGCATATATCGCATGGTGTTTTCTACTGATACACAACTCAGTGCAGTGAGGCTGAAGTCAGCTGTAGATATGGAGGCATAGACAATTTAAGTAAAGGTGCGGCAGTTTCTTGTTGCTCTGTGATAGGACTTCTTAGAGCAGAAAGTTGTTTTTTTGAACATTGTTAACCATTTCAGGGGCTGTTCTTTGGGCTATAAAGTGTACCAGGATCATTGCAGAGTTATTACTGTGGTGTATTCTGTTGCAAAGAAATGACAAACTTCTATTGAATAATGGAAGTTATTTCAGAAGCTACTTAAGAATTGCTTGTTCTGGCGTTAGTAGAGAAAAGCAACAAGCAAGTTTTATAATTTACTTTTTGACTGAATGTCATGGTTTAACCCCAGCCGGCCACTAAGCCGCTCGCTCACTCTGCCTCGGTGGGATTGAGGGAGAGAATCAGAAGAGTAAAAGTGAGAAAACTTGTGGGTTGAGATAAAGGCACTTTAATAGACAAAGCAAAAGCCATGCGCACAAGCAAAGCAAAACAAGGAGTCTATTCACTGCCTCCCATTGGCAGGCAGGTGTTCAGCCACCTCCAGGAATGCAGGGCTCCATCATGCATAAACAGTTACTTGGGAAGACAAACGCCATCACTCTGAACATCCCCCCCTTCCTTCTTTTCCCCCCAGCTTTATGTGCTGAGCATGACGTCATGTGGTCTGGGATATCCCTTGGGTCAGTTGGGGTTAGCTGTCCCAGCCATGCCCCCTCCCAGCTTCTTGCTGGTGGGGTAGTGTGAGAGGCAGAAAAGGCCTTGACTGTGTAAGCACTGATGAGCAATAACAAAAACATCCCTGTATTATCAACACTGTTTCCAGCACAAATCCAAAACATAGCCCCATACTAGCTACTATGAAGAAAATTAACTCTATCCCAGCCAAAACTAGCACACTGAGTTTAGAATTGTGTTTGTTCTTAAGTCAGACCCAAATTTATCTTTCACTACTTCCTTTCTGTTATAATTTCCCATGGTAATCATTCTGATACTCTCCTAAGCCTGTTGTTTTGGGGATATTTCTGTTATGTTGAGCCCTAGTTATCTCTAGCCTCTGCTCTGTACCTAACATGGCTCATCTGAGATGTCTTGATATATTTAAATTGAAGTGTAACTGTCAGTTCCTAACTAACATGTAGTTTCTAAGACCTGAAGTAAGGAGAACCTCAGGTCTGTATTCATCTTCCTAAGAAGATGAAATAAAGTGAAATGAGGTGCAGAGAGTATGGACTGAGATTACCAGAAGCAGGGTCTCATGCCCTCATGATAGGAGACTAAGAATACTTAACAAAAATAAAAGCTGAGAAGGGTTGCAGTGGCTGTGTATAAATGCAACATATCCAGAGGTATTTAGGGCAAAAGAGCAATGGTAGTTCTCACAATGGGAAGAAATGGTGCTTTTTACTGGAAATCAATTTGTGGGAAAAATCACCAGCAGATCTAACTGCTGATAGCTTATGAATTGGCAATAACGTACCCATGGAGATCTGCTGAACATCATAGGGCAGTAATGAATGGCCAACCTCCATTGAACAGGTTTTCCACCTCAAAGTATAGCAAATTAAGATACACGTTTCTTTCCATACTTTTCCCCCTGTATTTCTGTTTTTAGGTGGCATCAGAAGAAATACTAACTCTTATCTCATGATGAGAGTTGGATACGTGTAGCCAATGGAATGTATTTAAACTTGTTAGCAGTCATCACACTAAGGTTTACCTTACTTCCTGTGAGATCTGTTTTCCTGCATAATTCGGATGTGGGCCAGTTCTACCTATTTCATGTTTCTTAGTTTCTTGTTTAACCTACTTTCTCCTTCCCGTAAAAGTTATTACTGGTACTGCCTTATTTTACCAGCACAATAAACCATAATTGAAAATATGGTTGAAAGACATTTTAAAATAAGCAATATCTCAAACTGTATGACCAACTTAGATAAACCATATACTAGGTAAATTAATTTTGTCTGATTTTAGAATGTTTTAAATATATAGCCTTGTTATATTTAGCAGAACAGAACATATATGTTGACATTTTCTCAGCGTTCTTTCTTGAGATGGACCAGGCCATAGTTCAGTGCTTATGAGCACATTGCTGTCTACTGGTCTCTCTTGTTATTTTGCTCATAGGGATAACAGCGTATTAGAAATGCAAGGATGTTAAGTACATACATTCTTCATAAAGTAGCTACAGGGTTCTAGGAAGCAATTGTAAGAAGGGGAAAATGCATTATGCAATTTGTATGCTGCTTTTCTTCTTTTTCCCTAAGGAATAAGACTTAATGTGTTCTTCCCCTTTCTTACAACTTTTCTGACCAGAAGCCATCAATAAAAGGTAATCTGGTTGTAACTATGGTTGGTTTATAACCTTCCTGTGTTGCAGTTTGATCAAACTAAAAATATATCCGGGAGGTTACTGGGGGATGTAAGTGTGGTAAATTTAACATTGTGGGGTTTTTTGGTATTGTGAAAGATTTCTCGTACTATATGGTTTGTTTCAGTGCCAAGTGTAAGGTGACTTATGCAAGATTTCTGTCAAATCTCTTTAAAAAGTCAGAAGATTCAGAGAAACATTTAGGCCTTTTGACTTGTAGAAGGCTTCTTCCCAGTTCTTTTCTTAATCTCTTATTTTTTACACATAAGTTGCGTCAGGAGAGGTTTAGATTGGATATTAGGAAGAATTTCTTCATGGAAGGAGTGGCCAAGCATTGGAACAGGCTGCCCAGAGAAGTGGTGGAGTCACCATCCCTGGAGGCGTTCAAAAAACATGTAGATGTGGCACTTTGGGACATGGTTTAGTAGGCTTGGTGGTGTTGGGTTGATGGTTGGACTGGTGATCTTAGAGGTCCTTTCCAACCTTAATGATTCTATTCTAGTTTTACTTTCATTAAAAAATATTCCAGCCAGGAAACATGAAATTAATTATTACTCTACCTTTAATTGGTTTAGTGGTGGACTTGGTAGTGTTAGGTTAATGGTTGGACTGGATGATCTTAAAGGTCTTTTCCAACCTAAACGATTCTATGATTCTATGATAAACTAGATATCTTTGGGTCGAACACAAGTATATTAAAGTCTAACAAATGAAGTGATGTTGGTTTTCTGGACTTGGTAAGTCAATGTCTGGAGGCCCAAAAGAGGTTGATGTCACTGCCATTTGTTCGTAGGTGATGCAAGGACTAGTAGGCTGTTCGGAGAAGCTTAAGATTCAAAAAAGGCTTGCAGCACAGAGCACTGGTTTTTGTCCCTGTTACTGCCAAAGACATTTAAAGAGTGTATTTCATATTAATACATTGCTGTCAACACACACTTTGGATTTTGTTGCCTTTATCCTTTTTGCAAAAGTTGTCTTAATTTTGTATGTACTAGCTGTCTCTCCTGTTAGGAAAGTTCAAAGAAGGGAAAAAAATGCAATAAACTTCTGTTGATGAAATAGGTAGTTCTATATCTTCTTGTCTCAAGATGGCATACTTTTTAATTGATAGATCTTTAGGATATGTTACTTTGAGACATTGTTCTACTGATGATTTGATACAACTTGAGGCCTGCTTTCTTGTATTTTAAAATGCATTTGAGATTTGTAAGTGGTATACTAATTTACATTCTGAAAGCCCTCTTTTATATGAACTGAAATTTCTTTATCAATTAAAGTTAAAAATGTCTTGCTGTAACTAAGTGTAAACTCTTCAAATTTACAGGCAAAGTCAAGTATCAGATGTTTCATAAAACCAACAGAAACACTTGAGAGGTCTCTTGAAATTAACAAACAGAAGGGGAAGAAAAGGGTGCAGAAAAGACCAAACTATAAAAATGTTGGTGAAGAAGATGAAGAGGAGAGAGGATCTGAAGATAACCAAGATGACCTAGATAAAACTAAAGGTACAGAAGCAATTTCAAAGGGCATCAGAACAAGCAGTGAAAATGAAGGTGAGTATACCAGCAAATAAAAACGGTGCTTACAATTTGGATACTTTCATTTACTGTATGGACTTAGTTGTGATCTGTTACATGACTTGTTCTCTTGTTGCACTGGGTAAACGTGGGACTATTCAATTTGTTTCAGTCTTTAGCTGTATTTTTTGTTGCATGTTAAATCATTCTGTCAGAACATGTACTTCTAATCTGATTAAAAACTATGAAAGTGTTTTTATATCTTCCTGTAGTCTTCAGCCCTTATCAGAAATGCGTGCCTTGCACCTAGGTGTACATGGTTATGGTGCACTTGATAAGTAGACTTCACAACTTTCTAACTTTTCCTTCTGTGGTAAGGCAAATGGTGTAGCCACTTTACCTTTGTAAGATGGTCGGGAGTATTTTATGCATGTTTCAGTGATAAAATTCAACAACTGTGCTAACAGCGACAGTACGTGGTAGAAGATGATATTAAATAGTTTGAAACTGAAGAAAACATCTTTAACTTTTAGATTTTTTTTTAAATTGCATGTTTTCAGGATTTTTGACATAATACTAATGTTAAGAATTGGTTTTATAGGATCAGTGGTCTTACAGCATATTGTAACTTGTTTATTTTACTAGTTAGTAACTATTAGAAGGATGTACATCAGAAACTAGTCTTTAGTTTAGACATAAATTGAGAAAAATGTGGCACAATTGCATGCAAGCAATTGAAAACAAGACCTTTATGCTTTAACAGCCCTCTCCAAACAGTTGCATTTTGACTTAGGTAAACAGTCTGTTTGAGAAGGCTTTCCTTAAATGGTGTCAAGTAACTGATGATGTGTTGTCTACCATGATTTGAGGAAAGTATGACATGATCTGTGGTTTAAACTGGTGCATTTAGTAGTTGTCCAAATTCTTAAGCAAAAGATAGCTTTGGTCCTAATACTTCTGCTGAAAGCAGATAGGTGTGAAGCACTCAGGACCAGGTATCCTGTTTGTTGTAATAGTAGGGACCTATTTACACCCTCTATGAAACTTGATGTCCACCCATGCCCCAATCTCACCAGCATTTTCACAAAGAAATTTTTTTTCCAGGAAGAGGTTTGATGTTTTTTCTTCCTGTGATTTGAAGGGGAGGGGGATTACTGTTGCTTGTTCTTTTGCCAAAATAATCTGTATATTTTCTTTACATATGTTTATGTATAATTTTCTTACAGCAGTTAAATTCCTTAAAGAAATGTAAGCAAACTTCTTTATTGGGAAGAAAATTTGCCTACATCTATTCATTCAGTAACCTTTCTGAGGTTATGGTTATACCTCCTATATATAGTTGCATCAGTCACTTTTAATGCAAAACAGAAAATACAAAAGAGCTTGTGATAACTGTTAAAAATAGCAAATGTTGGTGGTTTTTTTGTTTTGGTTTGGTTTTTTTTAGAAATCGAGATGGTAATCATGGAGAGATGTAAACTGTCAGAATTGTCTATCTCTACTGTGACAGAACAGAATACAACAGATGAAGAAAAGAGTGCAGCTGCCTCTGGGAGTGAGATAACAAACTGGAACAGGTATAAAGGAACTGTAATATATTTTGCTGGGTTGCTTCCTTACTTGCCCTCCCATTAACTCTCTCCTTTCTCTTAAGGAATATTTCAAATCTGCCTCCAATTAAAATTACAGTTCTTGTGGATCACAAATAAGTGAGGCAACAGAAAAATGGGATATGGCCTCTCTACCGATCAGTTTCGGAAATGGTCCCGTTCCTTTGTAAAGTTTGTGCTTTCCTTTATGGCAATTGTGATGCCTTAGGTTGGTAAAGTTAAATTACATAATACTAACACGATAAAACCAGAATATACATGGGTTTTGTTCCAAAATTTTCTAAACCTCTAAATTAAACCAGAAGAAGTTTTCTTAATGATATTTATGGTCACATCTGTCAATTTGGTATACAGGAATAGGGGAAAAAAACAAAGGAAAATTCCTCAGTTCAGGGCTGAATTTTGCAGAATTTTAGTAGTAGTGGTTACGAATAAACCCTGCTAACGTATGTGCAGGTTCTCAGGTCCATTAGCGTATCTTAGCGTTATTGAAAACTTCTCTTGGAAACGCAGTTTTTAAGTGTTTCGGGGAGCAGAAATTGCCCTGACTTCAAAATGTAAACTTGGATGTATTAAATACCCATAAGACACTTTCTCAGTAAGAATTTTGCATTCTCGTTACTAGAATGCTAAAGAAAAGAAACCAAATGTGCCATCTCTGACACAAAAGTAATTGCAAACATGTCCCTTGGGGAAATGCACGTTTAATAGGATTTCAAATTTATTTTTAAACTTGGGAAATGCTGCCTGGTATTCCCAGAATTTCATTCTGTCTTCTTTATAGCTTTGGTGTAGCTTAGATTACATTCATTAATAAAGATAACATTTAATTTCATTGTAAAAATGAAATCGAACCTTGACTTGAACTGGCTTTAAAATACATTATTCTAGATTATTGATATTTTGACTAAAATATGTGCCAAACGGCTTTTAGAAAGAAATTGGCAATGACTGCATTGAATACTAAAGCAACTAGGATGCTCAGGTCTTGAAAAGTGCAAAATACTTACATGTGAGATGCCAATGCATTTGGCAAATATCTGCATTTCAGGACTGTCTTGATATGCAGATATGATCTGACAGCATCTTGCATCTTTTCTAAACATAAACAGCATCAAAGAATGTGCAGAGCTAAAAGTATTTTTAAAATAAGGATAGACTTTGTATAAGGCATTTCTGGCCCTAGTTTTGTACATGAATTTTTGGGAATATAGGTGGATAAGCTGCTATAGCTTAAGATTTTGTGTTATTCTATATGACAAATGTAATATTTGAAACAGTAACTAAATCTCTGAAGAAATTTGCTTAACTATATATAGCTTCTTTCCTACACTAATTGGAATCACTCCACAAGGATGAATAATTTGAAGAATACTTGTATGGCATTTGATCTGTTTCTTCTATCCAGTCACTAGTAAAAGGCTAGTACAGGAAGAAAATGCTTACAGAGTTAAGAAACACATTTCAAATATACTTGCCATGTAGCCTTTAATATTAAAAGTGGTTTTCAAAAATTGTCCAATAGTTGAAAAATAAATGGGAAACAGCACAGTTTCAGCAGTTAAAAATCTGTAGCTGTAAAAGGTAAGTGAAGTTTTCAATTTCCCTTAGCCCTTTTACTACTCTGAAGAGCATAAAAGAGAAAGTTTAAGTATTTTTGGTGTAATTTTATTTTGATGTGCCTCACTACTGGGAAGTTTAAGCCTAAAAGCTTGTTTTAAATTGGCTTCCTTTTATGATACGCTACGCGGCAGAGTTTTTTTTCCAGAATGCGAAACCTTCATGCTACGGTGTGCCTTCTGTTGCTACTTTCTTACAGCTGAAGTTTTTCTGGGTCTATCCTATATTTACTCTATATGAGGATCTGTTGATGAGTGGGATTCCTAGAAGTTGTTTCAGCTTCAGATTATTGCAGTTGAGACTTTGATAATGCAGATAGATACCTGCTGTGAAGAAGCATCTGGAATGAATATTATTTCTCTCACTGCTGTAATCATGGTTTTTTGAAGTTATGTAATTTCACAAATCTAAGTAGTATGTTGGGGAAGAACAATGAAAAATGCATTAGAGATTACAGAAGTTGTTTAGTACTATGTAACATTGGTGTTAATGGAACAGCTACTGATATTTCTGCAGCTTTGACTTCCTAAAACATTGGTTTTAAGAAAATTAAAATAAACATTACTTTTACATTGTAGGTGAGTTTTTAGGGTAATTACCATCTGTTGTTGCTCTGGCAACAGACCTAGTGTTATCTAGCATTTAAGTATTTTAGTAATTTCGAACCTGGGTATCTTGGTCCTCTTGCTTATTTAGACCTTGAAGCTGAACTCCATTTGCTATGTGTAAAGCACCCCATTTCAGGATGTCAGGAGGCTTGTAGGGCTTGTTTAATGCTTAGGAAGACTGAAGGCGTGTTTATTTTCAACATTGCTAATTCTTTAGGCTGTTTTTGCTTGAATAGTTACATTATTTTGAGATCTACAGTAGGAACATCATGTGGGAAATTTGGCTTGGGTACATACAGCAGTGTTGAACTTGGGCAAAGAGCGATCATAACTCAGTGGCACTTAAGTATATCATAGAGGATTCATTGTAATCTAGCTTCAGAAATGCACAAACATATGACTGCAATGTCATGAACAGAGGAACAGTGTGTTCTGTTATTCTTGTCATAGTCTTGTTTTATAGAATCATAGAATTGTTTAGGTTGGAAAAGACCTTTAAGATCATCCAGTCCAACCATTAACCTACACTAGCAAGTCCACACTAAACCAATCAAGGGTAGACTAAACCATGTCCCAAAGTGCCACATCCACCCGTTTTTTGAACACTTCCAGGGATGGGGACTCCACCACCTCTCTGGGCAGCCTGTTCCAATGCTTGACCACCCTTTCCGTGAAGAAATTTTCTCTAATATCCAACCTAAACCTCCCCTGGTGCAGCTTGAGCCCATTTCCTCTTGTCCTATCGCTAGCTACGTGGGAGAAGAGCCCAACACCCACCTCACTACAACCTCCTTTCAGGTAGTTGTAGAGAGCGATAAGGTCTCCCCTCAGCCTCCTCTTCTCCAGGCTAAACAACCCCAGTTCCCTCAGCCGCTCCTCATAAGGCCTGTGCTCCAGACCCTTCACCAGCCTTGTTGCCCTTCTCTGAACACGCTCCAGCACCTCAATGTCTTTGTTGTATTGAGGGGCCCAAAACTGGACACAGTATTCCAGGTGCGGCCTCACCAGCACCGAGTACAGGGGGACAATCACCTCCCTGCTCCTGCTGGCCACACTGTTCCTGATACAAGCCAGGATGCTGTTGGCCTTCTTGGCCACCTGGGCACACTGCTGGCTCTAGTTAGAGAGCATGTTGTTGAAATGTGTGTGGAGCTGATGGGAAGTGTTACATACATTGTTGTTACTTCGGTTGAGTTGGCTTACTGGGATATATTAAGTGTGACCATGAGGGCGCCACAGGTCTGGAACAGGTTTAGAAGTATGTTGTTCTGATCTTTGATAGCCCTTCTGACCCATAGCTAACCACAAGGACAAGTTTGTAGTTGATACTTCCTGTCTGCTAGGTCTGAAGGTAGGAAAATGTACTTTTCTTTATGACTTTGGATGTTATTTTAATGTGTATTATTTGGATGTAACTTAGGTAATGATTTTTTTTCCTTTTACTGTTAAATACTTTGAGAGGTAGGAGTTATCTCTTTTCAGTCAAGGTTCTAAGCTCTATTCTTCTGGTGACTCTGACACTTCCCTGAGTTTTGTTTGGGTGTGGGGTTTGGGTTGTTTTTTTTTTTTTGATCTGTCTGGCCACCTGTGAAAATTGATTTAGTTTCTACTTGTGCTCTGAACTGACTGGATGCAAGCCAGCTTAAGACAAGAAGCCAAGCTGCCTTGCTATGAGGCTTGTGCTAATATCAGCTGAATCTCAGCCGTGTCTGGTCTGTCCAAACGGCTTCTGGGTTAAACTGACTTTTCTGGTCTGTTCAGGGTACAGGTGAAGCATGAACTTGGCACTGTTTGTAGCTTCCTGCATATACGCTGTAGATCACGCGTGCTTAAACCCGGGAAAACGAAACTCAGCTGCAGGCCAAAGCTTTTTTTTTTCCCATCCAAATGTCCTTCCTTGTTCATTTTTCTTTGCTATAACTGTTTGATGGTGAAGTTTTTGACTGATTGTTTTAAAATAACCTAGCTTCCTCCAAACTTTGGTGAAAACTGCTTTCTTGTAAGAGTAAAAAGTTTTCAAGTCTGTTTAGTACATGAGTTTTAAGGTAGTCTTTTTTTCTATGCAACAGTGACAGCAGCTCTTGAAGCTACTTATGTATACACTTAAAACAAGCTGTACAACTCTTCTGCATACATACTAAATGTGCTACAAACAACCCATTAAATGTGTGAACAATCAATTCTTGGGATTTGTTACATAATACTTTCCTATTTAAAACATCAGAATTAATGTCAGAATGTAAATGCAAGGCATGGCTGTAATCAGAGTACTCTTAAACAGGTTAATTTTTGTTTAATGTCTGAAAATGTGCATTACTGTAAATTTGCCTCTTCCATCAGCTACATATAGAACAAGATAGTTACTCATTTTTCTGTGATACGTTCTTTTTCTTAACTGTTTTAAAATTACTCCTTTCTGCAGACCTTTTCTTGATATGGTCTATAATGCACTGGACTGTGCTGAAGATGATTACTATGCCCTCTTTGTGCTCTGTCTTCTATATGCAATGTCACACAACAAAGGTAAATTATTTTTGCTTTTTCCAGAGAAAACTAAATGAGACACATGGTTCTAGACAGGCACGATCTGTTTGTAACTTATGTTTATGCATACTTAAATGGTGAGAAATTCTTTACATGGGGGAGGCAGAAATAAGTATGCGGTAAGTAAAAACAGTTGCTAAGGATCACTTTTTTAAGAACGATTTGGTAGAAGCTTTGTGAGTGTCAGATAACTTTTTTTTTCTGTAGGTTTCTTGGAATAGGAATAGGATTATTGTGTTTCATTTTTAATCTCTTAATTTCAGTTGAAGCCCCCTATATTTGATCTACATATATATGGGATCCAATTCTTTTCCACTTCGCCTGTACTGTGATTGCTGCATGTAAGCCAAGTAGAAAATGTAAAAACTTGCCCCCATGTGTTAAAATTAAATCTTTGTATACTTTAAATATATAGATAATGCACAAGGCCTGAGAATCAGATGGGATTATGGAAGTCATGTATTGCCTATTTCTATCCAGCTTCAACAGTCCTTCAGTAATTCTTTTTATACTGTGCAATTCCTCAACAGCTTTCTCATCTATTGTGCCATAATTGATTGAAGGCTTATTTAAGTTGTTAGTGTTCTATGCCATAATACATCTTGCAAGTCTCCCAAGGAGCCTGGATTATTTTATAAACTAGCAAAACTATATTAAATGTGTACTTTATTATAATTCAGACAGTATGAGAATATGTAACCTTTTCTAAGGGATTATTATGGTTAGCTTTTTTTGCTGTTTATCTTTGTGTGCATTTTAAATAGATTCCTTATGGAGCAATAATGTAAACAACTCATACATGTGAATAATCATGTGTTTCAGGAATTGAGAGCTGAATTTAAGTTATTTTCTGCTTATGAGGATAGTTTCTGTAGCATACTAGTAATTGAAATGAATCAGCTGCTACAGTAAACTGAGGAAAAGAGCATCAGGTGTGATGGCATGCTTAAAAGTAAGGATTCTGTTCTAGTTTCAGGATACCTCTAATGGGCAAGTAGAGTGGAAATGAGAGTCTTCAGGGAACTAGCTAAGCTGAGCCCCTCCTGTTCTCCTCCATTCTCTTGATGGCTTTATCTTTTTCCAGGAATGAAGGAATACTTCTCTGAGATTATAATTTGCAGACAATTTCAGGGCTTTCACAGTCTCTTAGGACAAGAGATGATAATGTAACTAATATCACCAAAGACAGCACCACAGCCTTGCCGTGCTCTAGCCCTCTCTGACTTGCATCTCTGATTTCCCACCCTCCCCTGCAACCAGTATACTCCTTCCAGAAAATGTCTTTCCCTGAGGGACTTTGAGCATCACTGTGCTAGAAAACCCTGATGTCAGAGATGGATTCTCTTTTCTTAAAATGCATTCGTTGAAGCTCTGAATAGCCAAAATCATTAGTTGTAACTGTTGCAGCTTTAGAGAGTCCCCAGAAGTCTTTCAACGTCATTGTAAAGGAGTAAGCCTGCACTCTAGGGTTATATTTCTTAAGAATTCTTCTATGTAAGACCATAGTCCTTCAGTCCACTGTATTTGCTTTCAGTGTAATTAGTCACTCTTCAATATCCTGTTCCCAGAAAAAAGTCTGATACCCTCTCTTGTTTCAAAGCTAATTTGCTTACATCTATAGTAATTCTGTAAACAGTGAGGAATGCAGCAGATGCAGCCTCTTGCTGCTTAGTTTCAGCAATCTCTGTGCTGTTTATTTTTCACCCAATATCCAGGGTTACCAAAAGAAATAAAACGGGCAGTGAAATATCTGCTTTTTAAGAAATTAAAAGTATGCTGGCCCTAAAACTGGAGATACCTTCTTTGCATTTAAGGGGTCAAAATCTACACTTCATTCTTTGGTGGTCACATCAGCCCTCTCTAAATGAAAAATTCCTTCAGCTATACTCATTGGCTTTCCTTGTCAACAACTTAAATTAGCCTGTTGCTTTTTGGAAGCTATTTTCCTTTCTCCCCCTATACTTGACCCTAGATCTTACATGCTAGACGGATAATGACATCCAGTTTTGGTCTTCACTGTCTTTCACCAGCCCACTCCTCTTGTGCCCTGTAATAAACTGATTTCAGCCTCGAGGGCCATGGAATCAGTGCCTCTGTGTCTTGAAGAGGAGGGGTTTTATAAGCTGCTGATTTAGTGCCCCTGTTTGATGCAAGAGGGGAATGTTGTTCTTTAAAAGCTCAGGAGCTGTACAGCTGCTTCTTTCTACACCAAATTCAGTATCAGTCATGGAAGGTGCCTCAGGATTGAGCTAGAGCAAATGTTTATATGTGAACTCAGTATAATGCAAGAGATCTGCCTGCTTACAGACTTTCTCAACGTATGGGTCGATGATCCTTTTCTTTTACAAAAGGGCATGAAGGTCTCTTTCCAAACATGGAGAGGCCAGGTTGTTTCCCCAGTTTCAGGAAGTGATAAATCTCCAGAAGTTGTGTGTCTAGGATCTGATTATGTATTTACTCTCTATCTGACAGAGATGGTAAATGCTCTAGTGAGTGCTTGAATCAGTTCAAGGAAACAGGTAATGAATTGGAAATTTAGGATGATTTCTTGTGACTGAATGCAACACAAGCTTGCCCTCACTACACCACAGGAAAATGAGTTGCAGTGTTCTATTTCAGTGTATTGGCTGTTTCAGATATGTTTCTGATTCTCTAGCTGATCAGTTTGAATTTCACCTTTCCCCTCCATCCTGCTCATTCTGGCCCTGTGGAGAAGGCTACAACAGAACACATTCAGAAAAATCTTAATTGCCCTAGCTTAACCAAGAACTTTGGTTTCATGCCTTGCTTCTAAGGGGCCAGCCTTCTCAGTCTTTGTCACTAAATGTAGACACCCTATTGAGGCTTTAGGTCATGACTCCTTCCATTTGGATACTGAGTCTGCATTTTGCACCATGTTCTTGAACGCATTTAAAGAAAACGTGCTTGTTTTTCACCAGCAAGAAATATGTGTGTGAACAGGAAGAAAGAATCCCAAGAGGTACACATATGCAGCTAAATAGATTTGTTGCAAATTGTATCTGAGAGATCATTAATCCCAGAAGGAGCCCTTCATATATGTTGCTAGAGTATGTACTGTATCTCAAGAATGCAGAACTCTGCATCCTTGGCAGGCAGACAACCAAATGAAAGATGCTGAATATGAATTCTTTCACCATTATTTCAATTTGGCCACTTAGTTGAAGGCTTGCCTGGTCCTGCCTCATTCCTCCCCTGTGCTTTCTTACTCTCCTTAATGGTTTTCTGCTGGTTAATGACCATGTCCTTCTGTGAGAGCTTAATCTGCATATAGATATTCTCTAAGAAATGTTACTCATAAGCAACTTTCCAGAAGGAAAACTGTAGCTTTTTACTAGACTGTTAGATTGTTGTGAACGCTGGTACTCTGACTGCCCTGGTTCCTTAAATGCTTCCTTCCCTCCCCACGCCTTTCTTCAGTCTCATCATGACAGAGAACATTTGTATCACTGTCATTAATCTTCAGACAGAGCCTTATTAATTGTTCCAAATACATATGCTTAGTGAAGAAATAAATCAGCTATCACAAATGGCATTGTTGTGTAGAGTTACCTACAAGTTCAGGGCTGGAAGAAACTGTAAACTGCAATATAGTCATCTTCTGTTTTATGGAGTTATTTGTTACCATTCTTTAGAACAAGGACAGGGAGATCGTCAGCAAACCATAACTATGTTTTGTTCTGAGAGGTTTTACAGTAACCAGTCTATTCTGAGAAATAACTTTGCTATTTTAGAGGAAAAGGTTGAAGAAAGATAGATTTAGTTTCCTTATACAAGAAGTTAGTGAGAATTGGTGACTTGCGTTGGGGAGGGTACTAAATAAGAGGCTACTAGTTACAGAATTCCTATTTTTTTTTAAAAAACATATATGAACTGATCACTTACTACCAAAGCAGAATTTAAAATCAGACTTTCATCTTTTCCCCTGTAGCCTTTATGCTCTTCAGATGTGTGGCTTGACTTTGATTTGATTTGGATGCAAACAGATATTCTGAGAATTCCAGATGCAGCAAAATGGTTTGGATGTCACCAACCACTTTGGAATTTGAGTGTCTTCACCCAGTAGGCTCTATTTATGGCTGAGATTTCCCAGTGATACATAAATGTGTTCAGTCTTTCTGTTGTTCCTCCTTTTCCTTGTAATAGAAATTCAAAACTAATGTGCTTAGTTTTTTATTGCTAATTACACTCTTCTGAGAAAACTGCTGCTGTCTGTTAAATGCTTACCTCGAGGCATACTCCTGTTTTCTAATTTACCTTTCTTCCCTCATCCCCCACAAAAGGAATTGACCCAGTCAAGCTGGAGAGAATTCAACTTCCAGCTCAACATGCTGAAGAGAGAAATTCATATAATCATGTACTTGCAGAAGGGCTCATAAGGATAATGAATTATGCTGCGCAACCAGGTATCACTTTTTCAATATTAATTTTCTTGCCAAGCTGAAATTTTTAAAGATGAAAAAAAATGCTACCTAGTCTCTTGTCTTTGAGGGGAAAGCATCTGCTTAGCATGCTCTTTGATGAACAACAAGTAGATATGGTCTGTGAAAGACAACTATCAGGTTTTCCTTGGTTGTTGAGGAACCAGAAACTATGGATTTCTGCTAAATAGTTGTTTTTATACTCAGAACTACACAGGGATCTGTTGTTCTTAATTCCTACCTTCTGTGGTTTTGAATGAACAAAAATGATGAGATGTATAGTGATTTCTATTTAATGTAGGATTTCATCCTGAAAATATGATCTGTGGCACCTTTGCTTGTAAAAGTAATCCCAGTGGAGAAGCAGTCTTGAAAACTATATGGCACCCTTTGCTTATAGCTGTCCTTTGTCTCTAGAGGTGATAGCAAATTTTCCCTTTTTTTTTTTTTTTTTAATCACAGATTGCATTTTCAGTTCTGAACTGCTTTGTAGACAACAGACAACAGGTTTTTTCCTGACTTCAGCTTTTTTGTGAAATAAGGGATACAAGGCTCAGTGGCCTATTCCACAGAAACATGATCTTTGTTCAAGCTACATCTCTTCTTGCACTTCCCCTCTTAAAACTTCAAATGAGTAGCACTGGTTTTCCCCTGAAACTGACGCACCATCAAATTCCTGATTGTCTGCAGAATAAAATCTAATGCTTGTTTTACTTGCAAGACTGATCTACAGAGTATTAACTTGTTAGGCTGATGTGCTAGTCACAGATTAAAAGCATATTTATGTATAGAGTTTGTACATACTGCAGAAG